AGTATGATGTCCACCTAAAAAGTTTATTATGAGCTGACGATTGTCACCATGAATCTTATTAGACTTATCGAGAACCGCGCCGCAATTCATTTCAAATTGCCTCCTTAACGCTTCATTCATCTCGTTTTTAGGTATCTCTTCGAATTGTGGTCTTGGTAGTTCTGGGTCCGCAACAATAGGTGGTTCAAATCCTAGAAAGAAAAAAACATAACATTTGACATTAATTAAATTTAAAAAGTGTATATCTTATGATCGAATGATAATATGATTACCTGATGAAAGTGGTTCAGTTAATGTTGCTTGCATGGTTGTATATGTGCTAGATCCATTCTGTGATACAGTAGCAGTGTTGTCAATGTTATCAGTGTTATCGGCGATATGATCATTTGTTGATGGAATCTGCATATCTGGCTGATATAGGTTTGCTGGTGATAATGGAACTGGAGATGAAGGTGAAACCGAGGTTTTCTTGGATTTTTTATGTGGCAATTCCTCGTCCGATACAACTTCCTCTTCAATGGTTTCATCATCTATAGGAGGAAAAAAAATTTTTTTTTATAAATAAAAACATTCCAACTTTTTTTATATGAAATAATTTTTTTTTATTTCAAATCAATCATTGATAATTTGCCAATGCGAATGATAACTTCATTCACAAAATGTAAGGTGCAATGGTTAATTATTTTTAAAAATGAAAATGATACATTACAATTGATTTTTTTCTTTTTTCGAGTCGTCACTAAATAATATAGATTTAACCGAAATTAGCACAAAAAAAAAGAATTATGATTAAACAAATTGCAATACTCTAATAATAAGAAAGCAAATCTCACAAGGAACATTGGCCTGTTGCGTATCACTCAATTCGTTAGAAGCCACCGTTTTTGCTGCCGCCTTTTCACGCTTTTCTTGCTTTTCTTTTTCTTTCGCTAGTTTGGCCTCTTCCTTCAGTCGTACTTTTTCGGCTTTCTCGCGTTCTTTCTTGTTTTTTTTCTCTTCTTCCTCACGTCGTCTTTCTTCTTGACGTTTTTCACGTTCCTGTCTTCGCAATTCTTTCAATTGTTGTTCCTCTGACCGACATCATAGAAGAGAAAGTAATTTACACATTATCAAAATTGGCTACACTGAAATATTCCAGTCAAATGGAAAAAATATACATCAAATAATAGCCATACAATATGATAAAGTGTTATGTTAAATATTCGTACCCATTTGTGTTTTAAGTTTCGTTTCTTCTTGATTTCGTGTTATAGTTGTAGCAGTAGTTATATCAAGAATTTGAATTTTAGTAGGTTTTACATATTTTTTTCCTTGAGTAATTTTTGGCTCTGTTGGTGAATCAGGTCCTTTGTTGACCCAGAAATATTATTTATCAAGAGATTAATTAATATGTAAATTTCATTCAAATAATGAATTATTATGATGTGTAAAAAAATTTCAATTACCACGCAAAATATTTATAGATCCAGGTTTTGGAAGGCTTGGAGATCTGAGAAATGGTTGTGTCAATTGTGAAGGTCGACGTTTAGGAATGAATAATGAAGGTCCCGGTTGAGCTTGTATTGGGCCAATTCGATTCTGATCAAGCGCAAAGTTAAAACCCGATCCTGTTATATTAACAGGAGATGTTAATCCTGGTGATGGTGGTGGCATTGCTACATTATTCAAGGCATATAGACGTTGTTGTCTTGATATTTCAAATCCCTGCTTTAAAGTAAAATGTGAAGTAGGTGGTCGAGTGGCTTCTAGTTTAATTGAAAGTGTTGAAAAGGCATCACTTATGTCACGGTCTATAAATGCATATTCAGTCGGATGGAATTTTATTCCAGTGCGTTGTACTTTACATGAAATGATGAATTCATTTATTAGTTATATTAAATGTTCGGAAAAAGAATTGATTAATTATAAAAATATATATATATATATATATTAATCTTACTTCGATTCATTAAACTTTGAAGTCCAACCTGAGCGTCTTTAGGAATATGTTGTTCAATGTTAAGATCAAGTGAACTTGAGGTTGGATAATTTTGTAGCATTTTTGATACTAAACGAACCCATTCATCATTGTCGTTGGATCCACTTGTAATAATCTAAAATATGAAATTATCGAAAGAAGCAAAAGTGAGTGAGTAAAAAAATCCATACATATATAAATATATATATACACGTAAGGTTGTTATAATACATTCATCACTTTGTTTATGTATTAAAATTTATCTTAAAATATTCGAAATGTATCAGATCTTTCCTCAGAAAAGATATAATACTATTTTCTTTTTTTTTTTTATATGAAAGATAATTTATCGTTCAATTTTTAAATTAAAGCATAATCAAATAATCTCATACGTATTAAAAAATTTTTATTTGAAATACAAATAAACGAAAAATGTTTTAGGAAAAAAAAAAAAAAAAACGCGGAATAAAAATTTCAAATGCTTTATCTCTTGGCATCTTAAATTTAGCACTAAAGTTTTACAAACGCGACTTCAAATCATTAACGTAAAAAGTAAAGAAAGTTCCATAAAAAGGTTTTGACTTTGAAATGTATAGCTGTAAGTATGCGTTGGTACAACACTTACCGCTGATAACTCATTTCCCATAGTATTCAACAAGAGTTTTCTAATGCACAAAAGTGCAAATAATACTCCCAACTTAATATTAGGGGGATACGAACTCCAACGATTACTAATATGTTGCAGTATTTCCCTTGTAAGTTCCGGACCTACGATCGAAGGGAACGACCAAGGATTGTTTGACGATTGAATAAGCCAATTCTCAACTCCTTCTGGCGTATTACGATCCGCGGCCATTTTATAAAAAAATTATTTATTAGAGTTTCAATAGTTGGTTACAACTTTACAGTCTAAATTAATCAGCGTTACGGAAGAGTCTTTGTTCGTGAATAACAGCTAAACCAAACTAAATAATCAGTATACGATCCCAAGTTGGGTGGAGAGGATTCTGCTATTTTATACATACGTGTATATCTGGAGTGTGAAAAAGCAGCTTTTTGGTCTTTCTTCAAAACAATGTCACGTGACCATAGAATATGTAGACGGATATGTAGATCAATTTAATTACTTATTCATCACAAAGCGTGTTGAGTTGATTTATTAAATTATCAATAAAAAAAACGCATATTATTTACAAATAAAAAACAAATTTTGTATGGCGCGTAAGTTTCTTTTATTTGAAAAAGAATTATTCTCGAGAGGTTTGTGATTTTTCGTCAATCTCCATATCCTAAGGAAATTTTAAAACGATATTAAATCATAAATGTGTTAGCATTATAATTAAATATTTTTTACATACATCTTTATCAGCATTTTCGGATACTTCTTCGACCTGAAAATCTGTTTTACCTCTACAGATATAAAATTGTAAGATATAAAGATAAGAATTTAATTAAGATAAAGTATGTCTACGCTTACCTAAAGCAAGTTTGAATAAATGATCTTTTGATGTGTTCCGCATTTAATTTATATGCACCTTGAATAAGTACTGACGGAGTCGACTGTCTCATAAAGGGATTTTCAATAAACGCACGACCATTATAATTCGCAAAAAGATTCGGTTGTTCTATAATAGGTTAAAGAATTCAATAAAATGAAAATTCATGGATAATGATTACTCCTTTACTTACATACCTGGAAGAGCACGAATTTGTTGCTCGTTTAAATGTATAGTTTTTTTCTTCTTTCGAGGAAAATTTGGTGCCTTCCAGGCGAGAGTCGCGGCACTGTCTGCATTATCTGTGTAAGTCCTTTTAACCGACCTATGTTGTGCCACAGCTGAAGCTAAGGAACCTTCAACGTTACTAATCACGTAGGTATTGCTGTTACTACCATAATTGGCTTTTCTGGTTCTTGTGGGATCCCTGATGTTGTCAATCTGATCAAACTTTAAACCTTCAAAATTGTTGAATGATAAGTCTTCTCAATCGGTACATTTAAATTGTATTTACGCTATATACTTTACTTTTGCGTCTTTTAAAGTCTTCATTATCAACTTCTTCAGACTTTTTAGGTTTTGGTACACGTGATGAAGTCCTAACAGCTTTAGCCTTAATACCCGCTTTAGTCGATTTTTTAGCTAATACTTCAAGAGTTAAGATCTCGGGAGGAAGCATAAAATTCTGCAGAGGGCAGACTTTTTCAAAGTCGACTAGCTCAAAATATTTAGGTTCCGAGACAACCTTCGGGCTTGAAGACATTTTAACAACGTTCCCTTTTGTTTACTGCAAGTTAATTAAAACCGACATCAAGGTTGATTTATAATTTTTGATTTAAATCCAAATTCTCAAGTGAATAAGAAAGCGCGTAGTAAGCGACAAAAAAATTTTAATAGGTTACAGTAAATCAAACAACCAATTATTTATTACATTGACACAAAAAAAAAAATTATATGCAAAAAGAATTATTAATTAAGTTAAAACATTTTTTTTATTTACTTTTAAATTATATGGAGTCACGTTCTTTTTATCAATGAATTAATTATCTTTTTTTTTTTTTGTTGAATAATAATAATATGGTAAAAAACAAGGATGGATTGTTTGCTTATATCATTGTAAATATAAAACAAATACTAAATTATGGTAATTCTTTTTTTAAAAATTAATCATAAACAAAAAAAAATAAAGTATGAGATTCTATCAAATTTAGATTTTTATATTATATATAGAACCTATACAAACTCTAATAATAAGAAATATATAATAAAAGATATGTGATAAACAGACTACTTAAAATTGTTAATGGCTCAAAGCTGTACCAAGTTATCCAAAATATTTCGTTCGAAAGAATAAATTCAGCAATGCTTTGTCCAGAAATTAGGGCATTTAAAAAAAAATTGTCCAATTGACATTAATTATTTTCCAGATGCCTTGAGGAAATTTTTATTAAGTGGGTGCTCGTAGTTTTACCGAGTATAAGGGTGATAATTATGTTGTCCGCGTACTTGGTGACTACTGTACAAAGCACCACCTGAGCCACTATTACTCATTGAGCTGGAGTAAGAACGAGCAGGTCCACCACTACGAGAACTTCCACCACCGCCACGATTATACATAGGAGAAGTCGGGTGATGATGATGATGATGGTCTCGGTAATTACCTTCATCTCGACCAGGAGAATGTCGATATCCACCACTTAATCGGCTGCTGGAACTTGGACCACCCATTGCTGAACCACTTCCGGATGATGGACCACCTGATCCATAACCACCTTCTCTTCCATACCATTGGCTGTAGGATCCTCCACGACTTCCAGAACCTCCATAACTACTACTACTACCACCATATTGACTATTATAACCATATCTACTGAAGTAGTTAAAATAAAAGATAGAAATGATAAAATAAACAATATAATAAATAATAATTAATAAATTTTATAATTCACAATCGGATTTTACCTTGAAGAATAATAAGCAGCATTCATAGCATTATATGGAGCATACCCGCTAGGATAGGAACTTGGATAATTATAATTGGAATATTGACTATATCCACCGTAGCCAGTATACGAGCTGGGATTATAACTACCAAGACCAGAATATCCTCCAGAACTTCCATCTTTCCCAACGCCGGACATTCCATATGGAGATCCATATCTACTGCTAGCAGAACTGGCCGATGATGATAAACCAGACATTGCAGCAGCAGCTGATGCCGGAGAAGATGATCCGTAACTTCCCTGACTATAAATAGGCAGTCTTTGTGATTTATGTTTAGGCATTGCCCTTTTTACTTCAATCTATTTATATTAAATCCATTAAATTAAAATAAATTAAATTTTAAAAATTGTTGAGTGTGAAAAAAAAATTATAATTTAATTTACCGGCTTGTTTTGGATTTCCAAGTCACTCCTAGCCATAGCTTTCTCAACTGGTTCAGATGAATCAAAGGTGATAAATCCAAAACCACGAGGTCTACCAGTATCACGATCGACCATAAGGGTCGCATCGATAACATTTCCAAATTGCATAAAATATTCTTTAAATTCTTCCTCAGATACTTCCGGCGCAATACCTCCTACAAAGATTTTTTCGGTTTTTTCTTGTTCTTCACGCGGAATCGCTCGTTTTGGATCGATCTAATTGCAAAAATTAATTATAAGTGATAATTTCTTAAATATTAGAGAATTTAAAATAATTAAAGACATTCTTTTGCCTTTTTAAAAAAGGATTGCCTTATTCTATGGGTTATATCTTTCCTACTTACAATTTTCCCATCCAATTGATGTTCCTTAACTAATACGGTATTAACAACGGAAGGATCTACAAATGTAAGAAAACCAAAACCACGAGATCTCCCCGTATTTGGATCTCTCATAACTATACAATCCGTTACTTCACCGTATTGTGAAAAGTATGATTTAAGGCTCTCTATAATGAATTATTTTTTGATTTCATAGACAAATTATATGATTTGGTATTAGATCAAAAAAAGAAAATAGAAAGATAGATGAATAAATTATGTTGAAAATATTAAATTCGAATATTTTATTCAATTGTTAGTGTAAAATAGTGAATCAATGATCCATAAAATATTCTTGAGAAACTTGAGAAATGATGCCCAAGCCAATTATCTTTAGCGCAAAATATGTTCACTGAATCTCGCAACATCCAAAGACCAGAATTTTTAAACACTAAGAAATAAATAATGACTAATTTCTCTCTTAATATAATCATGTATCTTTCAATATATCTTCCTTTTTTTTCCTTATGTTTGATTGTCACTTAATAAATACATGAATCAATGAAGAGAGAAAATTAACTAACGACAGACTGTCGACTAGTGTCTTCATAAATATATATAAAGAGAGCGAAAGAGAGAGAGAGAGAGAAGACCAAGGTGCATAGGAAATAATTAAATTACAACGAAGGCTACGGTAAGACTAAAATACAAGAATCTTACCATCGGTTGTTTCCCAATTAAGACCTCCTATGAACATCTTTCTACAGTATTCAATTTGATACGATTTATGGTAAAGGAATATAGTTGATAGATAGATGTATTCGATATATAGATGTAATAATTTATATATATATAAAATAGTGTAAAAAAGTATTGGGGAAAAAGAGAAACCTATTAGTTGTAATTTATCTGCAATGCTCTAAAGAAAGAAAAATAAACCTAACCACAAAAAATAAAAAATAAAAAAAGTATATTATAGAATTCTCCGAAAAAATTTCTATATTTCTCCCTCTCCCTCTCTTTCCATGCTACATAATAAAATTGTAATCCTGATCCTGATTTTCTTTGTACTATATTTCTCTATTTTATATCTGTACGGTCAATTTCTTTCTTCAAGGCTAATAATTAAAATCATCCTAATACGATAGATCTCTATATATCAATTTGAATATTAAAAGCCTCTCCAGAGTTTGCCTTCCTTCGATTTTCTTTCCTACAGTTGGAAGTCGTAAAGTGTATCATGTGGAACTTTCCTGGATCGTTGGTTCGAACAAAAACAAGGTGCACAAAAAAAAAGAGAGAACTCTACACAAGCTAAAAATTTCCCGCTAAAATAAAATTGCAAAAAAAAATATTGAAATAATGATACTTTACCCTTCTTCATGTGTTGATGCTTTATTATCTTCTTTTTTGATCACATCTGAGTCTTGAGCTGATCTTCCATCTTGTTTGGAATCTGATGATTGACGGGATGACGAACTATCGGCTGCCATTGTAACTTATTTGCTGTTTATCAACTATTTCTACTTATGATCCTTAAACTTGTATAGAGTTTTACTGAAAATGCCTGTTGTTAATTATAGATTTAAAAAAGTTCAAATAGCAAATTAAAGAGAAGCTAAAGTAATAACTATTCGCAAACCAACTACTATATATATCGATAATTTGAATAATAAGAGACCCGAATTAGTAACTGAAAAAACTGGGTTAAATTGACGTCACAACCATACGTGCTGATCTGGTGACATATAATAGTCAAAAGTGGGTCGTGACAATTAGGATTCCCGGTAAAATCTGGTGGCTGAATTTCGGTAATTAGATTTACAAAGTACAGTATGTATTAATTTATTTATTTATTTATTATTTTAATATTATTATTTATTTATTTGTAAATTATATATTTCGATTTTTAAATATAAATTAAAAACTCAAAAATTTAAATTTTTTTATTTGCATATCAATTAATATTATATTTAACTATTTTAAAATTTAACAAAATTTTTCTAAAAAAAGAAATTACTTTTTTAAAAATAATAATAGCTTAAAATAACCTAAATCAAACTTGGTTTATTAATATATATGACAATTTAACTTATATAGAATTTTAATATTTTTTAAATTAATTAATTTTTAAAAAACAATATAATCTTAAATAATTTTTATTATATTTAATTATTAAAAAAAATTGTTAATTTATAATAATATATATAATATTATTATAATAATATTTTTTATTAATATAAAATTTATTAAAAATAATATAAAAGTTATAAAAATTATTTATAAATAAATTCTTATTTTAAAAAAATTAAATTATAATATAAAACATTAATAAAATTAAAATCTGAAATTAGTAAAACAAAAAATAAATTTTTAGAATAAAAATCCAATATGTTATATAAGAAGGTATCCTTCAGTTAGTTCTAGATATATATCATTAATATCAATTCTAAGCTTTTAACTAGTTTTAACACAAATTTGTTATATAATATCCTGATATTTTTCTTAATATAATTATATCTTCAGATATTAAAAATATTAATATATTATATAAACTTTTTAACTCAATACAAATCATTTTTAATATATCAAAAATTCATATTATATTGCTTGTTTTAGAATAGTATCCAAAACATAAAGAATATAAATCTGAAACAGTATTTAAAATTTAAGCTAAAATTTATATGTATAAGTTAATAAATTATTATTAAAATAAGAAAATTATAACTATTTCTTATATAAAATTACCTTTTTGTATATAATTTATCTATTTTTAATAATAATTTATGCACATTTTATGTTGTATAATTTGTAAACACAAAAAATTAATATACACATATACATATTATACATATTATACACATAGATTTTACATATTGATCTAAAATATTTAAGTTTTAACTTTATAAGCCAAACATGCATACTAATATACTATAAAAGGTAAACTTTACTGATCATAAGCTATTATTCTAAATCTATATGATGTATAATGATTTAACTGCTAAACATTTTGCAGTAAATATAATGTTTAATACAATTAAAAAATGTTATTATTAGTTTCAAATGTATAAAAGATAAGTAAATACATATGTTCTTATGATAGCTATCAAAAAAAAAAAAACTAAAGAAATATGAAGAATTATAATTTATACTAGTTTAGTATTATTTTACTAAATTAGTGTAAATTTTGTTAAACTATTACTAATTACGTTCAAGAAAATAAATATATTGTTACTATTAATTATTTTATTAAATAGTCTGAAGCTAAATTACTTCTAAAGCTACAGTTAGAGTTAATAAAAGTTCTAATTGATTCTAATTAGTCCTGATTAATTTTAAAAATAAAGTTACTTATTAAAATAAGTTTAAATTTCTTTTTAAAATTTAAAATATCTTTAAAATTTTAATTCTAAAAACCTAAGTCTTAGAACCAGATCTTAAAATAAGTATATTTATTATTTTAAAGAATTTTTTATTTTAAATTAATAAAATAATTGATTTATAAATAATTATTAAAAAGATTAATTTATTTTAATTTATTATTAAAAAATTTAATTAATAGTATATTATCTTTAAATTTTTTAAGACCAATTAGGACTTATACAAACCCTAGCTACAGTTGATCAAGTTGTTCTATTTTTATATAAAAATATAATTTGTTATTATAGATATTCTATAAAAAATTCTTTTAAATTAAGAGATATATTTCAGTCAGGAAATATATCAAATATATTATGATGATTATGCATAAAGTCAAAATAAAAACTTAAAAGTCAAAATATTTTGACTTTGGAAGTTAAAATCGAAATGAAAAGTCAAAATAGTCAAAATGACAACATATCACATGATTTTTTATATATAAAAAAACAAAAAAATAAAAGATGTACAATCTTAGTCAATATTACTCTGATTTATATGAAACAACTACCATTCGATTCCTCGCAACAAGATGAATCTAATAAGCTAATATTCATTGATTTTAGATCAGCTTTTTTTTTAAAACATATAATCAGTTAATAAAAATATGAAAATCCCAAAAATAGGATACAAATGTAGAAAAATAAAAAATGCTGCCTAATAATCATCATTAGTAGACTAATTCCAATCAGACCAACCAGTTGTTCCGTCAGGCTCCACTAACAATCACTAGTAGAATTACCATTGCCACCCAACTAAAGAAGAGAAAAACGTTTGACAAATAGTTATTATTGCATTAGAAAGAAGGATCATTTCCGTCTATAAATAAATAATTTAGTCATAAATGAAGTGTGATCATATTTAAGTTCGGGTAATGAAAACATCGAGTTTGAAAAACTGTTAATAGTAAAATTATTTGAAGGACTATAATTTCATTTTTTTTGCTATTTAGAAATGTTAAGTGAATGTTCTTTTGCTATAGTAGCTACGCATCTAGATTTCCAAATAAGTTCATAAGATTGATCAAAAATGTAATCATAGAATGGGAAAAGGATTTTAAAGGTTCGAGATGAAGAGTTGGTAAAGGAGCTGAGTAACTTCAGAAGAGCGATATGAACTATGCCTTTAATGAAATCTATGAACGAAATGTTGTAAAGATCCTCTTTTAAAGCCCAAAAAGAATGTAAGAGAGTAACAATGAATTAATGTTAGAAGGGTAGACAGTTTGTGAAGTATGGATGAAGAGTTGATTTTTTAGAACATTAAGAGCTGCGGTGATGATTTGTTTCATTTCTTTTTTTGCTTTAGGATAAATCCATATGTGATTAAAGTGTTCTTTGTTAGTATTACAATGACAGCATATCCATGATGAGTTATAAATGGTAGGTTGAGTTGCTTTCATGAATTCTATTGTGAGAATTTGTTCAAAAAGGAATTTAAATCTTCTGCAGTGTGCTCAAGACTCTTTAAAGGAGGTTTCAGTGGGAGTGTTGAGTTTGATAAAATCAAAAGTTAATGACCAATTGATTTGGAGTTGACTGTATTTACTATTTCTTTTTAAGTAGTAGAAATCAATGAATTGTCTAGCGTTAGTGTAATCTTTAAAAAATGAACGTAGTGCAGTAAAGATAGGCATATTGTTAAATGTTGGAATGTAGGAGAAATAAGGAGTTTGATTAAAGATTAAAGGTAGAGGTAATGACATTAAGAAGAATTTAGCAAGTTGATTAACTTTGTGGTTATGTGGATCATCAGAATGCGTAGCTACTTTTTTTAATATTAAGGAAATATTTTGTTCATCTATGAGTTTAAAAATAAATGTCCAATAAATGTTAAAAGGTATTTTGAACATCAATGACATATAATTAAAAGCGTTTTGTTTGTGAATTTTGTTATATAAATAGATCAGAATCAAATTATCTGTACAAACATTAATCTCAGAATTTGAAGGGTAGATAAGCAAAACTAAAAGCAAAACAAAAATTTCAGCGTTAGTAGAGTTAGCCCAAAAAGATGGGATAGCAGTAGTAAAATCTATGTTATAGTTGTTGTGAACAAGTAAAAAAGTAGAATTTAATAGGAACTAGGAGAAGTAAAATAAGAAAAAATTTGAGTGAACCATCAGTGTAGAAGGTGAGTATATTCTCATTTTTCAGATCAAATTTAAACTGATTAAGAAGAAGGCAGGTCAAAGATTCAATAGTATAAAAGGGGAGAGAATTACTATGTATCATATTATTGGATATGACATTAGGTCTCATATCCAGATATCTTTGAATCGCTTAATCTGCTACTGATTTAATATTTCTCTTTAACAAGTAAAACTTCTCTGAATTGACTGACGTAAAATAATTTGTTTGAATGAGTTGAAGAAGATCAATATTAACTAGGTTTACACAAAGTAATCTTTGTACAGCGATAGAAAGATGATTTTGTTAGAGGTCATTGTTGAAGATACATCCACCACAAGCTGTTAATATGTTCTGTTTTTTTGAAGAAGATCTTGGGTCAGCAGTCAAATTAGAAGGAACAAAATGCTAGAATAGAATCTTGTCAGAAAAAAGCGGAGATTTATAAGATTTTCTAAATATAGTTTGTTCAGGATATGGAAGATTATAATAGTTTGACTCTGGAGGGATTTATAGAGCAACCCAATCAAAAACTTTGTTGGAATCTATAGGAGATGATGTTTTGAAACCTGAAGGAGTGAATAGTGTGATAATATATTATTCTTTGATTCTATTAAAATGTACAGGATTTATTAGAATGATCTTTTCTAAATAAGAGAACCATTGTGAATAGCTTCTTTTGACAGTATTGTGATCATTATTGACTTGTATTACCAAATCTCTAAATTACGATAAGAAAATTCCATTACATAATAATTGATCTAAAAAGAGGATCAAATTGTGTCTTAGAGAGCAAATCCACTTTTTCTTCCAGGAAATAATTTTCTGAAGAGGAGTTTTCCCCTTTTAATTTTAAATGTTCCAGTATTAAAGGTAGTATTTGCGAAGGATATGTTGGATTGAAGGTAAAATGAGATGATATTGAAAATAATCATGGTGAAGATTATTTAATTGTGCCGGCCAACAGATTAAAGGATTATTGTAGAACCAATAAAAAGCTTGCAATTGTTTAAGTTTGATCTCTGTAGTCTTTGTTAATAAAAATGATGCAGTGTTCCTATTGATTATAATAGCAAAATATTGGATTTTTAAATGGATCATTTTTGCAGCAAAATCATAAAGCTGTTTGTAAGTTTACTGTTCAATATACTATTGGAAATAAATATTGAAAATTTTAATTTGTGTTTGAGAAAGATTCTGACTTGGAAAATAAGGCATAACATTCTTTAGATAAGAGAACGACTAATTGGGATTGATATTCAATACGAGAAATAAGAATCATATTAAAAATATTTGTCAGTCAAAGGTTTGTACTTTAGTTTTTAGATAAAGTCAGCAATTTCATCTTTAATTTGTTGTTTGATATAAGACTTGTTGTAATTTGCAGAGATCCAAACGCCTAGATATCTTGTTGATTCAGAAGGTTTCTTTGTTGGAAAAGATATAGGTTAGTTGAGAAATTTACTAAATATTGAAATATCTACTTCAGTTGCTTCAGAAGTAAGAATAAAAGATTTATTGTGATTGACTTTCATTGAATTCAGCTCAAAAAATGATTGAGCAATGTTGAATATAGTGGTGAGATTAATCAAACTATCTGTAATCAATATCATATTATCTATATAGGTGGAGTTAGGTATATGTGCAGTGATCTCAGATGTGTCAGTTTTGGTGATGTCTGGCTGCCATGAAACAGACATTTTGTATACATAATTAGATTTTTGAATATGTGATAAAAGAGGATCATAATAAATGACCTATAGCAAAGGAGAAGTAACTTTTTTTTGATCAATTCCAACAATGATGTCATAAAGGTCTGTATTGTCATACATAGTGAAAACTGAGTTTTTCTGATTCAAAAAAAGATTTGTGATAACGTTAGTAAATTCAGAAGGGATTTTTAGTCTCACCATCACTTTTCTGAGCATATAAATGTTAACTCAATTGTATGCTTTAGACATATCTTAAAAGAGAATATATAAGTTAGTACAATTGGATTTGTTAAATTTGTTATTCAGACAGTAGTATTCAAGAATATTGTTAACTATATGTAATGGGTCCATAATTGATTGATGAGGTAAACCAGCAAAGTTAAGGCCTTTGAGTATGTTATTCTTTATAAAAATATCTTGCAGTCTTTGATTTAAAATCTTCACAAATGCTTTTCTCACTGTGTTCAAAAGGGTTATAGGACATGTGTTATCTAGCTTACAGTTCCAAGGGTTCAGTTTTAAAATCAGGTATACGTATGCAAGATTCCATTGTGTGAGAGTAAATGAACTAATAAAGCAGACACAGATGATAGTATATAAAAACTGATTCATTTTAGGACCAAGTTTCTTAAGCATTTTATTTGTTATTTTTGAAGGGCTAGAGGCTTTATTGTCTGATAAATGTTTTAATGTTATTAACCATTCATCATAAGTAGGAATGTACATGATGCTCGCATAGCAATCATTATCGATAGTCTCAATAGGATCATAGTGACATTCCCAATTGAATTGAAATTATGTGACTGAATAGTTGATACATCTCTATTTGTTGATCTAGCAATATTTTGAAAATGAGAAGCCGTTTGCACTTTAATTTCATCAGGAATTAATTCTAAATGTTGCTCTGATGTATCTGCGTAAATCATGATTTGATCGAGAATATTGCTTTTCTATTTCTTTCGAGACAAGAGTCAATCATTTTGGTGGGATTTTTAAAGTTGTCATTTCGTTTTTTAATGAATTCTAAGATCCTTTCATTATTTTCAGTTCTAAAGATGATCTATTATTTGGCTTACATAGGTTTGATGATGTCAGATTTTAGTTCAGATAAATAATTTAAAAGGCGATTTGCTAAATATGATCATCAATCAAAGCTAGATACAGGTTTTAGTATAATAAGATAATGTCTTAATATGAAATTATATTTTAATATTAAGCATTCACTGTTTTTTTAGATTTAGAATATTCTTTAGTACATACAACAACACCTATTAATAATATTTGGAAAAGATTTTCATTAATGATCATTAAAGATAAAAAATATATTAAATACTGTATTGTAAATGCTTACAAACTTTATCAACACACCATTGAAATTCTGCATAAATTTTCTGATTTAATGGATGTTTTGAAATAGTTTGAGTTTTTTTCTTGTAAATTTATAAGGAAATTTTTTAGAATACATTTTTTTTAGCAATTACTTCAATATGACGAGTTTCACCATAACTTACTGATGTTCTATCAACATATTTTGCAATCAAATCTGAATGTAATCCTAAATATAACTTTCTTTTTCTACCTGTTTGATAAGTTTCTGAACTAATAATCTTTATATTAACAAGTTTTTCTTCATTAATTTCTTTATTATTTTTATCTACTAATAATATTATTATCATCTATTGTATCTTTTACTTCACTTTCCCAATTATTTCAATTATCATCTGAATTTATATTATCTTAATCATCAGTTTCTTTATTAATTATTATTGGATTAAAATAATACAAAATACTTTGTTATTTTTTTTAGTTATATTCCAAGTCATTTGCATACTGGTTAATATAATTCTTATTATATTTCCTATTAAGTTTTATTGTAACTTTATATATGTAAATTTTCTTTTTAGTGTGTATAATTTTAGAAATACATGGATTTTTTTGTAAACGTTGTTATGAGTATTTTCAACCAGCTATAATATGTAAAGTAATGTAAGATAAGATAATATGTAAATAAAGATAAGTGATAAAAATTTTTTAAAAAAATATACTGTAAATATGATGATTGCCAAATTAGATATCTGCTATGCAAATTCAATACTAAGTTTAGTTAAATTCATATTTTATTATATATTTATAAATCTTGCTAATTTAAAATTAAACTATTGGTTAAGCAAATAAAAATTTCACATAAAATAAAATTTTCTATAACTGTTAAACAAATTTAAATTTAACATATTTGTATATTATTTAAAATCCTATAAGATCTCATTTTCAATTTTAATCAACATACAGTAATTCAAGTTGATATAACCTATTCTAATCATAATATCTTATTTTCTTCCGTGATTTATCCATCTCGTGTAATCTTCCTTTTTGATTCATAATTTATCTAGTATTATTCTTTCTCTTAATAAAATAATTATTTCTCTTTTTATCATATGACTTTTGCTTGTAATTTTTACTGTATATTGTTGATCATTTTTTTTTGTATTGCTACGTCTTAATTAATGAAATTGTTGACTCTACAGCGTTAATAAAGATGGTATTTCTTCTTTATCTTGAAAATAAAAAATTTGGGTAAGAATATGTTAATATGATTTAAGTCCAGAATGATTTTAAGCTTGAATTCAATATTGGATTCAATATATTTCCTGGTTTTGTAGATTAATTTGGAGTTTAATAAAGATTTCATAAATTTTCGTATACCAGAAAAGGCCTAGGAATGGTTCACATTTTTGTATACCTATTTTGAGAAATCTGTCTCAGAACACCCAAAGTTACCTATATACTTACAACTTCATTCTGGATGATATAATGTAATTTGTTTGAAAAACTTTTAAAAGAGTAATCTATTTATTAAAATTTACTTCAAATCCTATTATTTATTCTATTTATTCTACACTTGGATAACCTGAACTATCTTTTTGATTAATAACTTCTTGCAAAGTCTAATGTTTTATATAAACTTGTTAATGATAAAAAGCCTTGCTGAAAAATCAGCCTTTATTTGAGCAAGACAATTATAATTAGTAAAATCGCTTCTTATATGTTCTTTTGATATATAACTATATGAATCTCCATCATCAATTACTAATTGGTAGGTTGCTATATTATTCTTCTTAAATAATTTAATAACTCATTTACATAAAATAGTCTTCTAAACCAACAATTTAATACTAATTTTATCAGTAGACCTATAAAACTTATAAACTTGCTTCTAACAAATACTTTTAAGATATAAAAAACAACTTAAAAAATAAATACTTAATATTTATAGAACAGTTAGTTTTGAGTTATGAATAATTTTTGTATATATACAATGACCTCAATATGTATCAAAAAATAATAGCGGGAGTTTATCCCAAGTGGTTTAAATCTATTGAAAATAATGTAATCATAACCTTATCATATTTTAAAGATCATACAATAAATTACAAATATATCAACTTATAATAACAACTAATTTTTATATCAATTTGACATAATACCTATTAAAATTTTTCTTCTTGAAAAAATAGTTAAAAGTAATGACAGCTTCTTTATATTATAATACTTTATCTTTGGATATAAATATCAATCACTAATAATACTTTCAACCTATGCTAGATGTCAATTATATAATTATAGTATTGACCTCACATTTATAAAACAACCATCCTATAAATTTTGTTATTTTATTATTCTAAAAGAATTCTGTAGCCAAATTACTATTAATTATAACAAATCTTTAGAATATCATATCAGCTTTTTACCATTTATGTTAAAAAATACTGCACTTAATAAAATTAAATTTCCTAACATCCATTATTTTTCAATTAGTTAAAATATTAATAACTTATCTTTTGATCTCAATAGTTTAGCTATTTCAAAAACAAAAAAAAGATTTATTTACTAATGTGTCTTACCTCTAATTTTATACAAATAGTTCTCTTTCTAATTTAGGTTTTTCATCCTGTCGAATAGGTTAGGGTAGTTACAAACTGATTCTAATTGGCCAATAACCTCCTTTAATATTTCTCTTTTATTATTATCTTCTTCTTTTACACTTGCAGAATTAACTGCAGTTATTGCGATGATATTTGTTACTCCACTCAATTCAAAGATTATGATTTATATAGACTCCTAAAATGTTATTTCAATATATAATAAGTTCTTCAATATAATGAGTTAAACATCTTTGAATAACTTATTATTTAAAATCTAATATTTACAATATGACTTCTTTTAATGAGTTTAATCAATACTAATAACTTAATTATCACCTTCAAAAAAGTCAAAGCTTATACTAATGACTTTTATAACAATTAAGTAAACATCTTTGTAAAGGTTAATACTTTACTCCTATTATTCAACAAAATATTTTGAAAATAATATTTAATATCCAATAAAATATTAATATTATTCTTTTATCACTATATCAGTTATTAAACTACTTAAACGTTCTGCTTGAGCTGAAGCCTTTATAAATCTACCTTATTTTAAATAGTATATTGATGTAAATATTGATTGGATAAATACTACCTTTATTTTAAATGATAATAATGCAACAACTATTATGTTCTTCAAAGACATCACTATTAAGAAAAACAGATATTGATTTCTTCTCAAAATGCTGCTCACACTACATATTTTATACAAATGACATCCAACTATTTTTATCTATCCTACCTGTTCTAATTGCACATTTACTGATGAATCTTTTAATCACATTTGGCAATATACTAAAAATAATATTACTATATTACAACTTACTTTAAAGATAAAAAGAACTCTTTTTTATAAACTTAGCTATTTAAAAAACTGTAGTGTATTATACGATAACTTTGTATATCAAATCAACTAATTGTCAATCTGATCTTTTACCAAATAAAATAATAACATTTTTTATGAACATAATTAAAGGACTTATTTATACCTTGTAAACTTGTCTCTCTTATTAACAATATCATCAATAATATTGCAGTTACTATATTGCTTTTTTCATCTACTTATTATGACCTTTTTAATAAATTATAGACTATTTGAATATTACAATATGATTTATTTATCAAATGAAAACACCTACATAATATCAATAATGATTATAAATCTAATTCTAATCTTTAAGTCATCTCTGATTTTTTTCAATGTCTTATATTACTCTACCCCTACTTTCAACTTCATTTATTAACTCTGTTAATTTAGATTCTAATTGGTCAAATTTTTAGTTAAAAAGTAACCATACCTCTTATGCTGAATGGTTGATTCTATATAATTCTTTATTATAATTTTACTTAATTTTAGTCTAGCATGATATATGATTAGTTTTAATTGTTAGTGTAGTTTTCACTTTCTAGATAGATATTTTTATATTTTCTTATCTTAATATTTGTATTTGTATAAATTCATAAAATTAATAAAAATTATATTAAGCTTTTGCATCTTAAAAAAAAAAAAAAAAAATACTCATTTGTTTGATAAATAGTTTCCTATTTTTTTATACTGTTTTTATCTTCTCTTCTAAATGAGATTTTTATGTATTTATTTTCAAATTCTTCAATTTTAAAATTATCTATTCATTTTCAACATTCAATTTTATATCATTTATTTCAATACCTAAAACTTTATCCTTCTTATTATTTATCAGATTTTTCTTAAATTCTACTTTATTAATTTCTTCTACTTTATCTACTTCATTATCATCATTATCATCATGATTTTCATCAACAATATTATCATTATTATTATTTATTTCTCTAGAATTTTTAGCTGAAGAATTAGATCTAAAGCTTGATTTGATTTGATATTAAATTTGTAAGTTTTTGATAAATCTACTGGAATAGTCTTTATTATTTGAGATTTTTTTAAGTTGACATAAACTACATTTAAATTTTTGAGAAAAATCCATTCTATATAAATAAATTTTATCAACATTACTTATTATAACTTATTATTCATTATAAATCTTGTATTTTGTATTAAATAGTCAATGAACATATCGATTGATCTGCAATTAAATAGTAATAAAATTTTGAGACCACATGATTACAATATTTAATCATTAACGCATTCATTTTCATTTCAAATAATAACCTTAAAATTTGTTATTAATTCTACTACTTACTTTATTTCAGAAAATTGGATTTTTTTTGTATTATATTTTATTTTTTATAAGGTATTTTTAACATATAATAAAAATATGTATTTACACAAGATTATTTCTTAGTAATCATTATTTATTATTTTAAATGAATCAAAAAGCATAAGAAAAAATATATCAATATTAAAAGCTTTAAAATGATATTGATAAATTTTGATTATTAATATAACTAACATATTATTATTTTTGTTTTTTTATTTATCTTCGATATCTTAACCAAATTTTTCGAATCCTTTTATATCCTATTTTTCAGGCTTACTATCAGGTAAGAAGCAAATTTCTACAAGTATTTTTTCCATTTCTATTATTAATAATTCAGATTGTTGTTGTAATTTAGCAAAAATACTCTGTTCTGAATTTATTAAAGATATGTATCACTATTTATTACTAACTTCAAGATTTTTTTAAAATAAAAAAATAATTAATAATATTTTATTTTTATTGTTATTGTTAGGGCAATAACATATATTACCTAATATTTTAGGAGTTGGTGTAGCAGGGGATCTTAGGTTACATATATAAATGTTAATCACATGATAT